ACGAGCCTGTAGGCAACGCAGAATGAAACTTAGTTCCTACCCCAAAGGCACAACAATAAATAAAGGAAATAAACAACATAAATGAACACAATAAATTAAACAAATTGACATAATTTACAATTATGGCAGTTAAACCAGGAATCATTCTTGTGGCCCTACGCTGCACCTTTTCTAAGGCCGCTATGTCCTTTTTAAGATATGGTGACCAAACCTGTACACAATATTCTAGGTGAGGTCTCACCAAGGAATTGTATAATCTTAGCATTACATCCCTTGACTTAAACTCCACACACCTGGAGATATACCCCAACATCCTATTGGCCTACACAAGCACAAAAATCGTGTGAGAGCTAAATCGCATCTTTTACCTCTAAAAACACACAAATCATAAGGTTAATTTTGAAGATTTATTCTTATATTGTCTCTTTTACATAGAGGTTATATACAAATTAGTACAAGTCTATCAGAAAGATCTGCAGTAAGTTAAGAGAAAATACAACAAAATAATATTTCTTTAAATGAATACATATAAATGTAAATCTTATACATTAATGGAAAACTCTCTTCCAGTCTTTCCAAATATTCTTGTTTCAAGATTTTTTCTTAAATTTAAATTAAAAAAAAAGATCTCGTACGAAAGTAAATGGAAAAATATAACATCCTTATAATTACACCCCACATCTTTTACATTCTCATTTTAATATGAATAATCACATGGAAAAGCAAACTGCATGATATTTATATTGCAGTGTATTACGTAATACAGCAGATTATTAAAACAGGAAAATAAAAATGCACATATTCTAGGCATCCTAGCGTCATAGTGGTACAGAATTGTGTGGTCCTACAAAAAACTGAACATACTTTTTAAAGTTTAAGGTACATTTATTCCAATCTACAAATGAAACAAACTCTCTCTCATTAAACAGTGTGTATATCTATCCTAAAATCTACATTTGACCTGGATTTCATTTTCTATTAGTTCTCTGGTCTAAAAGACCAGCCTAAATGTAGGGGTAATCACATACAGAGCTTCCTACACAATCTAGAGCCCCATCACTTTATGTAAAAAGGATTCAGATTCACCAGATATCTTAGGAGAATGCTGATGCATCATATTGCTGGGAAACGTAGGAGAAAGCTGTTATTCAAGGGATAATCAGGGTGAGCACATTAAATGGAAACACAAACACCGCAAAAAGGAAAGATCAAAATGAATAAAAACTTCCACTGCACTAGAGTGATGCAAGAGAGGTGCAGAGAGGCCTGGCTGCTGGCCACAGGGAGACCTACTGCTCACAGATCTCAGTCTCCACCACAAACCTGTTCTCAAAATGGAAGATCTTGTGGCATGTGAGGGCTTCCCGTTTCTGCATACCTGCAAAGGGAAGCAACACAGTTATCTGCTATAACATGACTGCTCTAGAGGTGGAAGATGACCTATCTGTAGCGTGCCACCACTGGGCATACCCTGAACAGAGGCCACATTTACTTTACATTCGCTGTATGCTCACTTGCATATTCTTTCACAGGCTTTTGCATATCTGCTACACATCTACTCATGGCTACTGTATCATGTATTCAAGTGGCATGCAGCACAAGAGTGCATTTTGGAGGAAGTAGCATGTGGAAAACCAACTAACCAATAATGGTGTCCCTGCGCTCGAGTCTGTAGGTCTCCTTGCCACGGCAGAGACCGTAGATGAAGTACCCCAGCTGATCCACATTGTCCAATCGCTCAGTCACCATCATCTGCTCATGGATCAGGTATGACTGGGGCAGGTATGTCCCTGCCTGAGGGGAACACAAGAAGCACACATGGTTACACACATGGTTACCCACATGGTTACCACGTCCGCACACATGGTTACACACATGGTTACCATGCCCGCACACATGGTTACCACGCTCGCACACACCCTGACATGCACCAGGTCAGACATGCAGTAAGAAAGCTGCTTCCTATTACAGTAGAATAATAGCTCTTGGTATTTTCCATGTTTGTCATAAATAAAGGAGGAAAACCCTTTAGAGACCTGAGAGAAGAAAAAAACCTTGTTTATTTCAAAGATAAAATGCATACCTTGATTTTTACCAGCAGATCCACAAAGTTTCTGGGCGGCAGCACAATGGAGGTGTTGAGGGGAATGACATAGCACTTGTTAAGACTGAGATCCAGATATGCGGTCAGGTTCTACAAGGGGCAGAGGGGTGGCACACGTGACTGACTGAACTCCGGACACGGCTGCTCCGATACTAACGCCATTTAATGAAAAACACAGAGGCTTTGCACAAAAAGGAAATGAGGACAGGCCTATTTTTAAACCCCCTGCAGTCAGGAGAAAAGCTGCCTGCTTACCCTTCTGAAGTCATGGACGATGTCAGCGGGATCACTGTCGGTGAACTCAGGCACGGGAACATTAATGAACTCGACCTCGTCGTCCTCCAGCACGCGGATGCTCTCCTGGATCCAGCGCTGTGGGGGGATGGGCTCCTCGTCCTCGATCATGAAGTCCTTCTCGACGTAGCCTACCCCACACACGAAGACCTGTGGCTCCTGCAGGGCAGATAAAGCATGTTACCACGCACCCCCACCCCATCCTGGTGTGTTCACATCCCCGAGAAAAACCCCAAAGAAGCCAATGGGACAGCTGACCATAGTGCTGTCTGTGCCACATGCCTGCATCAGGAACTCTCTGTACAGGTAGGCTCCTCCCACGACGACGCCGGCCAGCATGAGGGCCAGGCCCAGGCACAGGCACCAGCACCAGGCTTTGGACTGCTGTCGAACCCGCACGCCATTCTCCAAATCCTAGACACATATAAAAGGAACAAAAAGAGCAGACCAGTCAGCCCAGCTAACTATTACCGATGCTGTGACCTGAAATAAACAGGCATGACACAAACACAAGCGCAATGATCAGATTATATAAGCCGGTCCCACTCAATATCTGATCGTGTAAACACATGGAGTTCTTGTGAATAGAGGGACTGGACCTGTGACTGGGCGGAGACACAGCTGGGTTCAGCACTACAGTAGGGCTGCCCGGGTAGCAAGCCGGGCCTGGGGGAGGGTGATACCGCCTGCGCTAATGTTCCCTGGCAGCTCTCCTGCTACCATCATCCCGCCATGGCTTGTTTACTGCTCCTCAAAAATGGTGGCTTTGTCCGGAGCGGCCGAGGGGCCTCAACGCCACCCACCAGCCAAACATCTGCAGTGAGGATGAGTAGACGGTGAGCAGCACAAACATGGGGGCAGGGGGGTAGAATAAACCCAGTCCACCCTGACACATTGACATCAGCATTCCAGGCAGGGGGAACAGATTCCAAAATAACCTTTTCCCCTAAACAGCACAACACAACCATTTCAGGAAACAAGCAGAGAAGGGGGGGGGGCATTCTGCTTAGCCCATCTTTAGCTATTTATTACAAACTCAGGAGCCCAGTGCACATTGTTTGAAAGTCCATCACTTTTTTAATGGCCGCGTTTCCCGGTTAGCTCCCCCAGGGAGCAGCGCACCTCCATGAGGGCTTGGAAAGCATCTGGCTCCCATTTCTAAGAAGTAAAACTGCATTTATTTGTGTCCCTTGAGAAGGGTGGGGACCTCATTCAGCCGCACCTTTTAAATGGGCTGGCACACATTACCCTGGAGACGGTGTGTCACCTGAACTCCGCTCAGGACTTTCAGAATCCCTGGAGGTCGCCCACGACTCGATCACCAGTGACACAGCGCGCTGGCTGGCTTAGCTCGCGTTTTAAAAACAGCAGGAGGAATTATTTGCAACTTCCTGTCTTTGCTCCAAATTAAAAAGCAACTATAGGATACTTTCCAGCTCCTGTATATTTTTTTTACAGCCACACAAAGAGCAAAACTGAAGGAGGATAAATGATATTCAGGACAAGTGGGATAAAGTATGCAAAGCAAGGACAGTTACAGAAAGGCATGCAAAATTGTACGTGCAGCTTTCACAGTAGAAACAGACAGACCAAAAGACCAGTGATCACTTCTACATTTAGCTTTTTACATCAACCAAGTTTAAACATCCTCTTTCAAGCTGACTTTCGGAATGAGAAAAAGTAGGAACTTATTACAGCACTTAAGCAGCAAATTTTGGACAAGCATGTCCTTATATTCAAAGCAATACCCATCCAGCCTGGAAAGAACATGGGACCGAAGGAAAGTTAACAGGCAACTAAATGGGCTTTAAAAAAAACTTTATTAAATGCCCAATTAGCTTGGAGACTAACTATTGAAGGAATATTCAAATATGCTTTTCAGGCAACGAGGCTCATCCAGATCTAGGTGCCCTTGATGGTCTGTCATCTTATTCGAGGCTACAAGGGGCTTCACCTCGATTCAACTCACAGGTGTCCTGGAGGACAGAACCGCTGAGGCTGCCGTGCAGAGAGCGTGAGGTGAGAGAAAACAGAGAGTGAGCGAGAAAGTGAAAATATAGGGAGAGAGAAATATGTTTTGACACACCCTTATTTTACCATTGAAGGGAAAGAGGGACCGAGACAGTGAAAGACTGAAAGGAGGGCTTGCTGGAGTCAGAACAAAAAAGGCATTGCATTTTCACTGCCTGACAGAGCAGCTGGGAAATGACCAGCAACCGACATTACGGGTGGGAATAGGTAGCAACCTCATTATTAGATATTACATCAATATTTGTTTGCTGATTCAATATGTAGTGGGATTTTTTTAAGTGACATTGTGATTAATGTTTTTTTACTGCGGAGAAGTTATTCTTGCTTTAAAATGTTTGATGTATTTAACTTGATGCTGTTTGAACATTTTGGGTATATATTTAAAGTAAATACTGCATCATACACTGAAGAGCCTTCAATGAGCTATACTCAACAAGCAAACCTTCAAACAAAAAGATCATCAATAAACTTCAATACAAACGAGAACTTACAGCAGTAGCAGCTTATTGGCAATTAAGGGTTCAGAAGTAAAGATGACATGCACACCAAAATGACCACTTTTACAGTATACAGTATGTATGGCACTGAGAACAAGCAGGGTATATGAATTAAATACAAACTGACAATTTGGAAATGTGACCTGAAACACATCTTTCAGAATGTCTTTATTTTAAAAAAGCTAAAATAATGTGGAATTCCCTACAGAACATCAATGGCAATGGACTTCATCATCTGTTTAGCTTCATCTCTCCTGCTTCAGAGGATGTTAAAAGTTATGTCGAGGGTTCGTTGCCTTGGGCATGTAGCTGCAGAGATGCATGCAAATGTAGCGGTATTACCACATCATTTAACTCTAACATGGTAAACTTTGCAGACAGCTGTACTCATGCTTAGCTGTCCGTTTACTTCAGTTAGCCTGAGCTTTTGAGACAGTGCTTGAATTTAATATGAGATGGTGCTGGGAGTCTCAGTACACACTTACTTATTCATGATAGCACCATGCCAGACTCGCACACATCAGTCCCTTAACAAAATTGGCCTATGTGCAACTGGGCAAACACTAGAAGTAATAAATATGAACAGCATAATTACAGTAACCTACATTTCAATTAATATTTTTAAATATTTTTTCACTCTTATTGCCATCTAAATATTTCCGAACCAAAGAATTGCGCTTTGTAACTGAATCCAACTCCCACCTTGGAGTTGGACGCATTCAGTCACATCTTCACTGGACTTTGCACCTCAGCCGTATGAACCTGCTTCACCATAATGGTAAATGGATTGCATTTATATAGCGCTTTTCTACTCCTACGAATACTCAAAGCACCACCATCTTCCCCACCGAGTGTCCATTCATCCCCATGGCCATTTGTTTCATGTCCACTTGACATAATTATTTTGTGGTTTCATGTGCACCTTTCCGAATGTTGCTCAGAAAACACACAAACGTTCCGCATTTGCCACATTCGTCTGTTACATATATGTACTAAACCAAAACACCCAAACCGAAAAATTTGGGTATGAATACGTGTACCGCTACACTCCTACTGATGGGTATGAGTGCATGGGTGAAAGGGGGGCCCATATCATTAAGTTGCTTTTGGATCTTTGTGGTTGTACTGTTATCTGACGACTGATGACAAACGAGGCTTTGTACTTCATAGCCCTGGCTGTCATAGTCACCAGACTTGTAGAGTAACCCAGGAAGAGAGAGAGCTCAGACCCACTGCTATGCCACACTAAGCACTACAAACAGAGACATTGCATTCCCGTCAATTGCTGCAGGTATTCATAACTTCATTCCCCCATTGTGTACGACGTAGCTGGCTCACACAGACAGCTAGACAGACCGACAGACAGACAGCTAGACAGACCGACAGACAGACAGACAGACAGACAGACAGACAGACAGACAGACAGACACACACACACTCCTGCCTTGATGCACTTGCCAAATGCTGTCTTTCTGCTCTGTATCACCACCCAGGTCTGCAAGCTCACACATGCATCCCTGGGCTGGCCCAAGGTGTGGTTCATGCCTAAACACAAATACATATTTCTGTGAATACATCATTTTTTTTGTACTCTTTTCCACTAGGCGCTGAAAATAACTGTACAACCTGCGAGAGAGAAAATGTGATGTAGGTATGCAGTTAAAATATGATGCAGTATGATGCTGAACGAGTCTCCATAGCCCCAGAAAGGTGAGGTCAGTGGAACACACTGAGGCTGTGCGTTTTATTACTCCGGAGGCCCCTGAAGTAAATGATGCCAGAAAGAAGCAGCTGAGCAGCCGATAGCCCAGGCAGCACATCAATGTCGGCAACAGGCCACGGGGCAACCATTAGCAAGCCGATAATAATCGAGATAAAACTATTGTGCTGCATTTGGTTTCACAATGATGCTTCCGTTTTTGCCTGGTGTTATAAACCCAGAGCAGCCCATTCAGCACCATATTTGCTTCACAGTTGAATTACATTTATAGCTCAGGGAAGACCAGTGTTAAAAAGGTACATTTTAAAAGTTCAATAAAGCCATCATATATCCAAAGTCAACGAGTGATCATGTTAAATAATAGTGATTTCAGTAATGACCAAAATAATCTTGATTTTGATTTTTGCGATATTCGAGCTGCTCTATCCTGAAACTGACATTTGTAAAATTTACTTTTACAAAGATTCACACTTTATAGAACAGAAAACAATGCCTTTATTGTCATTGCACACAGTAGGTACAACTAAATAAATGTTGCTTGATGTGCAGAATAGATTTTGTTTTTAAAACTACATCTCAAAATAAGCATTACAAGCTCCCCCGATGAATGTGGGGAAACAAGCAAAAAAAAACACCCAACCAACCATCCCAACTTTATCCTAATATATTAAAGAGCACGGGTTCTCATTATTAATATTCAAAATAGTTTATAAATAAATCATTATATGGTACAACTAATACACACACACACACACACACACAAATAAAATGAAAGTGAAGCTAATCATAATAGAATCAGTGATTTGTGAAACAAGTTCTCTAAGAGTGACATTATCCTAACCTGTGTCTTACAGTTTTTTTCCTACTGATAAAAAATGGAATATATTGCCATTTAGTTTCTGGTAGCTCGGAACTTTCTTTAGGTAACACAAACAAACTAAAACCTTCTGCATCCTGCACGCATTCAATAAAGTAAAAGTATCTCACCTCAGTTAGGACAAAACTATAGGCACTTGATACTTAATTGTTTGATACTTATGTCCACTGCTACACTATTTATGAATTTTAAGAAAAAAATATCACATTATAACAATAGGGAGAGGTGTCAATAAATAAAAATTATACTAATGATGGTTAAGTTTAATAATTTGTATTGTGTTTTCTCTTAGCCCCAAAGGCTTTAGCAGAAGCCAACACTACAGAAGCTACAATTACACAGCCACAGTTCCTTGAATATCAAAACCCCACATTCAAAACCTTTATGCACCCCATTCCCCATTTATTTTAAAGTAAAATTATTTAGTCCTTAAAGCTCCTTTTCAAAATGATATCCATTCCACTGCAAAATTAATTAATGGAAAAGAGCCAGTTGCCAGCAAAATATATTGGAAGTGCATGATTTTATCTAATGTATTTCATTCTCATCAGTGGACTAACATTATTACAGTACTAAAAATATACTTTGTAATGACAATGGGCTCTTGATTAATTTCAGAAACAGAATCTGACTTTTGACAAGTTTCTTGTTTAGTCATACTTACACACGACCAAAGTGCTAAGAGAGTCTAACAATGCAATTTCACAACCCAGGTTTTGGGGAAAGTTCACAGCCGTGCAATGAAACCTACTTAGTTTAAAAATACATATACAAAAAATAAGTGCCGTCGAGACATCCACAATTCAGTCTCCTAATCCAATTAAGAACTGCATTAATAACTTCACTGATTACGAGGTCGGCCGGAGCAGAGAGCAGCACAGGCGCACAGATGCATATAGAGTAGATCCTTCATGCGCAGTTGTTCAGATTAAAAGCTGCCATTTTATCGGCCGAGCCAGAGTGTGACTCAAAGCGAAAGCGAAGCGTCCCGTCTCGGATGTTGCTCTCACACTAGAAAGAATTGCCAACAACAAACCACAACATGAATCCCACGCATACCGTGATCAGTCTGTCTCCTAGAAAAAAAACTCCCCATTGAACTGATATGTTACCAGAAGACAACTGTAACAGTGCCCTTTTACTGATTATTTCTGAGTCACATACCTTAAACAGTACCTTTACCAAAATAACATGATCGTAGGAACTAATCTGCGGGGAAATGTCGTCTCGTTTTCTTGTCTTAGCTTTGTAGGTTAGCGGTGTAACGTGATCCAAGTGCTTTAATCGATTCAGTTTGTTTAATTGGCCGGATCTCCGCTGTGCTTCCCCTAATGTGTGTTTAAACATACGCTAGTTTTGGCAAACGTCAGATTCGATCAAAATGGAGGCGCACCTCAATCAGTGGTTAATAATTTGAAGCTCTCCAAGATGGTACTGCATAGCCAAAAGCAATAAAATGAAACAAAAAAAAAGTTTGATTAAAAACATCGATCCTACTTCCACAGGGTAACGCGTTAAGTAGACAAACTGGAGCAAAGGCAGATTTATCTGTTGCATCGTCTTGTACTTTATCTAGAACAAGCAGTAAATGTTTTACAATATCGATGATAATCTATTTCCTTCATTCCAGGGGTATTTTTTTTTGGTGTTAACCCCAATCATGCCGTAAATGCTCACATGTTACAGACAGTGCCATGTTTCCTCCCGGCGCCCGTCACCCGTCACAGGTGCTGGACAGACCCCGGCGCCACAGAGACAGACACAGGGAGCACAGCACAGTGTGCCCTTGTCACATACATGCGCATTATATTACATAACCACTGCCTGCGACACCTAATTCACCTATTACTGCGACAGACTACACAAGTTACTACCCAAAAGCACATTACGCGACAAAAAAAAAAACTTAGTGCATCTTGTCAAGATGGCACTGCAGACGGCGTTTCCGGAAAATGCACGTCTGCTGAAAAACTTGGATGCGTCGCGCTATAAATAAAAGTAAAAAAAAGCAGAGCCTCCTAAACAAGGTTAGACGGTACTCTGTATGCGGCCGGTCAGCCATTTTTAAACCTATCCGATATCAAGCTGCAGGTTCAATGTCCACAAAGAGCCAAACCAAACATACACGTATACATACGCTACGCTCCAACATTTCCGTATTTTATTAACCATCTGCATCCTATACACACTATTCCAACTTCTTTTTAAAAACTTCAGGTCCAAAGAGGTTTTAAAAGAGCTCGTTTTACTTTACTGATAAATGTATTTACAGTTTATTACATAGCTTGCTACTTATAAAACAAAAATACGCATCTATAAATAGATTAAAGCTAATATAGTACAACTCCAAGTTGTTATTAAAGCCAGTAAACAACCTTTACGAAATCAGGTCAACTCACCGTCTCGTCGGGAATTAAGGCTTCATTCTTGTCCTCCTCTTTTTTCGGATCTTTTTGACCCAAGGCTGAGTTGAAAGAAACCTTAACCATTGTTATTTCGTTTTATTCGTACGAGGTCGAACTTCTGCGTCGAAAGTAGGTAGGAAGCCCGGCGCTCTTCTGGAAGCCGCTCTTGGTTTTTCTTGTTCTACAGCTTCTCCTCCCCACTGACAACATCTATCAGTGACGCAGATACGCACCCAGCGCGAGCACAGCTACATTTCATCTAGCTGCAGAACTATACAGCGCATTGGCCCGGCTGCGCCGCAAGGGGGCGCGCTTTTTCATGTGAAACTAACAAGATAATAAATTATACTACAGACGCTCCTCTAATTACGACTGAGATACGAACGAACGTTCGTAACTTGAAATGTTCGTAAGTCGTTATTCAACACCATTTTAAGGGTTTACGCAAGTACTAAGAACAAGGATGCTGGGAGTACGCACGCTACGCTGCTGCGCGGCGGGAGTATCGGCCAGAAGTCGTGCTACCCGGAATTGGCGCTCAGAAAAAAAGGATGTTGTGGACAGGAAACGGGAGCCCAAGGAACACAATTTGGACTTACAGTCGTCTTCGTTAGTATGTCTGAATGTTCGTAAGTAGAGGAGCGTCTGTAAATTGCGCTGCTAAAATTAATAATCAGGGACGAGATGGATGTTCACCAAGCCTTAATTGACCTGCTTTCTGCGAGACGCGGTTAAATACACACTTTTGTTGTAGAAATTTAAGCCAGAGACTTGGTTCGTATTAAGAAAATGTTTTATTTTCTACTTTGGACTACGGTAATTCAGCGCTGCATGAAATCTCCCTGTAAGCCTAGCGATAAACGTTCTTAAAAACGTTTAAGTATTTTACTTAAGTATCTTAAGTATTTTAAATACACAGTCTCTCAATCTATTTTGTTTCAAATTAACCTACATCTGTTTTTTTCCGTCCAGCAAAATACAAATTACAAAATGCTCAAAAGGAAATGAATACGCATTTTTAATGCATTTAACAGAACGTGCCACTTCTTGACAGTATCGTCGTTCAAATTCATTCGATCGATGGACCTTAGACAAGTTTTCTGTAGCCTTCCGGCAGCTCTTCGGTCTCTTTGCCTTGATTTGTACGATCCGAAGGTATACAGAAGAAACTTAGATTCGGGATTTTCTTGCTGTTGTTGTCACTCGCACCCCGGTAAAATGGCCGTTTCTAACAGTACCTGAACATGGTCTCATCCATGACCTCTACAGCAGAGTTGAGAGATCAAGATGAGGCCCACATTGCATAGGATGCCCAGTGAGGATTTCATAAGGGGACAGCCCTGTGCTAGAATTGGGCCAAGGTCTGAGGTGCAGCAGGACCAGCGGAAGAGTTATCATCTTGTCCATGTCCATTTCAGCATTGCACTTTAGCTAATTTGTTCTTAATGGTGCCATTTACTCTCCCCATTGCTCCACCGCTCTGACAGGAGCAGTGACATCTCAGATCTACACATGGATTTTCACCCAGTTCACTTATTACAACATTTACGAAATGGATTCCATTGTCTGAAGATAATTTTTGTGGAATGCCCCATCGGGGTATCAGTTCCTAAATCAGACCCTTAGTTATAGATAGAATTGTGGTATGACAACAGGAGTAGGCCTCAACCCACCTGGAAGTGAGATCAGCAGTAGCGGGCAGAGCTAACCAAGAAGTTGACTTTGATAGCCACAAATCCGCTAACTCTAAAATTTAATTTGATAACACTAAACTGATGAACCACTAAAAATTTGTGGAAGTTAATAACTACTGACCTGTTATACTTTCTTTTTTACTGTCTTTTTCATTGTTGCTGCTGTTTCTAAAGAATTTCCCCATTGTGGGATTAATAAAGTCAATCTAATCTATATGACTTTAGCTTTGGTTTGGTATTTTGCTCTGAAACCCTTAAAACCTAACTAGAGAGCTACAATTTTAAGCTGTTTAACACTGAAGTCCCATCTGTCGGATGAGAGTGATTACCAGGGGATACTTAGGACTTCAGGACCCAACTTGATCACTGGATTCTGTAGAGCAGGGGTGTGCAGGTTTTATCCAGAAAGTACTGCAGTGTATGCAGGTTTTAGCTGCAACTCTTTAATTAGATTGCTAATTAGAGGGCTGATTGGCTGAAGAGTTCTCACACCTGGGTTTCAACAACTGACTTAAAGGTTATCCCAAAAACCTGCAAACACACTGGCCCTTTGCAGATAAGATTGGCAACTCCTGCTGTAAAGTATCTGGAATAAATCTGCATTGAAATTTTCTTTCTATGGTATTCCATTTAAGAAATAGGGTTTCTCTGACAAAAATCCTTATTTTGCAGCTGGCTCATACTGACATTTTGCCCTCAGTGAAGCTGCTTGGGGACTAGAAACATGGCACTATTTACCCTGAACTTGGCTGGGGAGACTCAGCTCTTTATTGGTCTATAGCTCTGTCAATCAGAATCCAGAAATACGACCAGGGCCAATTTTCATTTTACAGGGTGGTTTGAGATAACTCATTTATATTCATGAGAGAAGTGCTACCTGATATGCCAGTGAATGCTGTAGACAGAATGCCAATAACCATGCTGGTCACTAACTACCTAGGAAACCATGTTAATCGCTAACTACCAGAACCCATAAGTCAAAATACTATTAGCCTATGATAAGGAAAACATTGTACTGTGATTGAGTTCAAATACTTAAAAATTACAGTCATACTTTGGATGAGCATCTTACACCAGATGGATTCCTTTTTTTATGATGACATCTTCACACTTTAATTCATGGAATAAGTTTTTTTTAGAAGATGAGTGAAAATGCACCAAATTTAATGTAGACTAAGCTATCATTGCAAACAATGACTTAAGAAATTTAATTTAAGGACTTTGGGTTGATAAAATGTCATGTTGTTTATGAATGGTTACATAAAGGTATTAAAGACTTATCTGTTTGGAGTCTGTAAGGAGTGTTAGGCGTCGAAACAGGTAGCACATGTTAATGAAAGCGTGTTCACTGGCCAATCAGGTAGCACATGTTGATTGGAGCATGTTCACCAACCAATCCGGTCGCACTTCCCTGAATATAAATGAGTTTTCCCAAGCTACCCTATGAAATGAACATTCTCCAACTGGGGCCTGTATCACAAAGCAGAATTTCTTGCTTAGCTGGATAACTTGTCTGATTTAAGGTAGTCTGGGTTAAATGTAACTGAACAAAGATAAAGTCACTTTAAACTAGGGTACCATAAATCCGACACGTTATCCTGCTGAGCAAGAAATCCAGCTTTGTGATACATGCTCCTGTTCTCTGCTTAGTTCAAGGTGCCCCAGTTTAAATGGACTTCATCTTTGTTCACTTACATTTTGCCCAGACTACCTTAAATCTAATAAGTTATCAACCAGATAGACTGTTGCAGACACGCTCACAGCAGACAGGAACAAATGTGGATGATTGGACCCTCTGACACTGGAGATTTTCTCTGTGGAACATCCAAGCCTTTAGCTACATTGTTCCGTGAACACACCATGCATCTCTTACAATATTCTGCCACCTGAGTGCTTATCCTGAGTGTAAACCAAAACTTATCGTTTATCTTCAACATTTAGAGATTGCCTGCATGATCCATATGCTCTTATACAATTCCAGGGTTCGCCACTCTGGCAAAACGGGTTGTCCATCACTGGACTTCCGCACACAATCCTGCGCCCAACCACAGGCATTTAATTACCATCAGTTTTACTTCTCCTGTGGATCAGTTTCCTGCTGGAACAGAAGGACATCATTGATGGAGAGAGGTGAAGGAGCTTTATCCATCAGCAGGGGGCAGGTTGAAATGAGGGAGACTGGAGAAAGAGAATCGCTTCTTCTGGTACAGCGTCAGCCTGGGCGTTTCCTTGTGATCCTTTATCCAATTGCACATACAGCTGGAGAGAGGCAGCTATCAGTTTTCTAGCATGTATGAGGAAACCTCAGCATTTACATAGAGCTCCGTGATCATGGCACATGTGTTTATGGCAGTTCTATAGTACGCTCAGGTTAGAGTCAACAGCTCATTGATCGTTTCCATTCCCACTACAGCATCTGATACAGATGGGCTTCCATCAGCCAGGCAGAGAGCATCCATGTACAGACAGAGTGAGATCATAGTCTTCCAGTGGGGTTTCTTTCAAATCAGCTCTAGGTTTCATCGCCGTCTTGATCACTCCGCAGCACTCATGAGGCTCCCCATCCTCTTCAGTAGGGAACCATGTCGCTGTATTAAGAGCAGAACACTATAGAAAAACATTCCCCGTAGTCATTCATACATTCTGGTCATGAATTAATCAAGCTATGGTTAAATGTGAGCTGTGGTTCAATGCAAGCTATGTTTAAATGAGAGGTCCTAGTCTTTGTAAGCATATACCGCAGTAGGTTCATGCATTGCTACACATGCCAAGTCCACACATGCCAAGACTGCTTCATTTGCTGCTAAAACTGCTTTCAGACAAGTTGGAAACACTGCTGCCACTGACTTGAAGTATTTCCAGTAATAATCTATAGGTCTATATTTATCCCCATGCTTCTGTGCCAGTACTGCTGACATAAATCCATTTTTCTCTCCCACAAAAAGCACAAAAGGCAAATTATGATTTGGAATGCCCAGTGAGGAAGCTCCCAAAAGTGCACATTTCAAGTCTGAAAACCTTGTCAGAGTCCTCAGTCCAGTCATCCGTCACATTTAGCCCCTTCCAATGCATCTCTAGAAGGGGTTGAGCACTTGTTGCCAAATCTACGGGGTCTACAATTACCCACAGTTCCCATAAATGATAGCAATTGCTGTTTTTTTAAGTTTTAGGAATTTGTTTAATAGCTTCAATTTGTTTTTGATTTCTGCTTCTTCCCTCTGGAGTTTAAATGTGTCCTAAAGAGGTACTTCCTGTTTTACCAATTATAATTTTCCTTTTGTGGCCTTCTGGCTATTATTAGCTAAATAGATTAATAAATCTTCAGTATCTTGGACATAGGCTTCCTTCAGAGCAAAGTTTCTTTTTGGAATTAGGAACTCCAAATCCTTTAGCAGCTCTTGAGAAAAAACAGAGTGACACCCAGTTTATCCCTGGAGCATGCCCACCCAGGTCCATCGCTTACCCTAAAATGTAAACACAAACCAATGCTGCAAATCAGGATGAATGGGTATGCAGAAAAGTATACCAAGTTTGGAAGGTCATTGT